TTCTTTTTTTTTTTTTTTTTTTTTTTTTTTTGATTTCTTTGTCAACTTGTAAATCGCTGGTTATTTTCAATATTGATATTATTAATTCCGTTTACTTTTCTTTGAAATATTTATAAATTTCACTTTTTCAATTAGACTTTTATTTATTATGTTTTATATATGTATATTATACGTATACTTGTATGTTTGTAGATTTTTCTCTTTTTTTTTTTTTCTTCACTAAATTATCATTTTTTTTTTTTCTCTTACAGCCCAGCCAGTGGAAGCTTTCTGACGAGATAAATTTTATGCGGAATGACTAACTAAAGAGTTCACTTTGGTTATTGTCATTCAGTAGAATACTCTCAAATTTCTTTTTCATATAAGTGCTACTCAAATATCCGTTTGATTCCGCTTTTTCTTTCCGTTCTTTTATCTTCTTTAACATGTTCATTTTTTGCTCTTTTCTTTCATTATCATTAGACTGGTTTTTTTTTTTCACTTGTTGCCTTCTCTACTGTTTTTATTTACTGTTTCGTTGATTTGTACAGGAGCAACACCAGCAAAAGTGTTTAGTTTTTGACAGTTAACGTTTAGTGGTAAATCGGAATAACGTTGTTTTTTTTTATTTGCTGGAAGCTTCAGTAAATAGAAATTGGCGCTCAGTGTTGGTCAAAAATGGTAGGCTGATGCTAAGAATTGGTGAGGTTTTTTGATTTGTTAGTTTTTTTTTCTTGATTTCATGGTCGATCTCAACAATACTCTATCGTTACTTTTTTTTTTTTTGTTTGGCTTCAGATATCACGAAGGAACCTCTTTGTTGCAATTTTCATTAGGCTGCGGCTGTGTCAGTTGTTTATATTAATACTTTTTATAAATCTGTTGATGGAATACTAGGTTTGTTTCTTGATTTACATGGCGCAAAATGGGTAGATTTAGGTTTATTTTCATTCTTCATTTTATACTCAATTGGGCGCTTCTTTTTTCTTTTTGCCTTAACTTTTTTTTTTTACGTGTAACATTTTCTCGGTTTTTTTTCACGTGTAACATTTGCTCGTTTTTTTTTTTTCATTGTATCAATGCTATACATTTCTAATCTGGCGCATCAAATTCTTGCGTTCACGTTCAAAGGTTAAGTTTAGCAAGAACTGCTATTGTTTTTTTTTTAAGTTGAAGATTCTTTCTGTTGCCTCATAAGTATATAGTGTAATGAGTGAGATATAATTTTTTTCTAACAAATGGTTTTGGTTTTCTTCACAGGTGCAATTCTGCAGAGGCATTGCTGTCGGTGCAGGGAGTTATCATTCTGTAAAAGTTAAAGTGGGCGTATCCGCTTTGATTGAACTCCCGTTTCTTAAAAATGGTAAGTTTTTTATAAAGGGTTGATTTTGTACAGAAGAAAGCTTTTTTTTTTAAATTTTTAATGTTTACTTTCTTTTCAGCCAACTTTATCGCTTTCAGCATTAGTCCACCTTTTGTCATTTAGATTCTACTTTGTCAAATGTCTTTATACTAAGCTTCTTTTTCAGCAGTAAAGTAGAAGGGCGGATAAAGTTTTAGATATGAAATTTAAAACAGCACAAAATTTTTCTTTTTGTTGTTTCCACTTTTTTTGACGAAAGCGGTTGCTTATATGCCCTGTTTTATTCGAAATCAATTTCTCTCAGCTTAGTTTATTGAAAAGACTTCAAAAATGAGTGGTGAAGCAGGTACAGAGGGAGGTAGAATAAGCGGAGAGGTTAGCGGCTTGCAATAACTCTAGATTATACTCTTTACAACACTTTTTGGTACTTTTACTCGTCATTGTCTTTAGTCTAGTGCTTGGTCTTAGATTCAGATTTTTACTTTTGAGAGTGACCAACAGTTGGATTGTGGTTTGGACCTTATGCGTCGCTTGCCACCGCAGGATGTAGAAAAGAATTTAAACGATTTAATTGATCTCTGCCCGCGTTTGCTTGATGACTTATTAAGCGCAGTCGACCAACCATTGAAAATAGCCCGAGATAAAGATAGCGGAAAAGAGTACCTCTTATGTGATTACAATCGAGATGGCGACAGCTACAGGTATTTCTACTTGAGAATTTTCTTGGCAGTTTGCTACTCGTTATGGTTTACTTAAGGTCGAACACAAAGAAAATTTTTTTTTGCTTTTTTCTTTGTGTATCTGTTTGACTAATTCAAGAATTCTTCAAATGCTTTACGCTACAGGTCACCGTGGTCGAATACTTATGACCCACCTTTAGAAGATGGTGCTATGCCGTCGGATAAATTGCGTAAACTTGAGGTTGAGGTTAACGCTGCTTTTGAGGCGTATCGTGATGCGTATGATTTTGTTTCATTTTGTTTTTCTTACAGTAGTTCGTTAGTCTTTTAGAAAGCAGTTGCTCCACTTTTTTTGATTTCTCTTCTTGTAAATTTTGAATAAATTTGCTTATTAATTTTTAAGCTGTTTTGAAGTAGCCAGTTTTGAGGGTTGTGTTGCAAAAGAACAGTGGGTGTTTTAGGTTGCATCTCACTTTGTACTGAATTATGTTGTTCTTGCGGATGGTTATGACTAGGATCTGAAAAAATCATAGACAGTTTGGCTAACTACTGGATGGTTCTTCTAGTATAAAAGGCTTGATTTCAGGTATTTTGAAGGCGGCGTTTCTTCGGTATATTTCTGGGATCTAGATCACGGTTTTGCTGGCGTTGTATTAATAAAGAAAGTCGGTGATGGTTCTAAGAATATTCAGGGATGCTGGGACTCTATACATGTTGTGGAGATTCAGGAAAAGGCAGTATTTTTAGTTATTGTTATCTAAATAACGGCTTGTGTAATTCCTGAATTGCGTTTTTTTTTTTTCTTTTTTCATTTATCTTTTAAAGTCATCTTGGTTCAGGCAGGAGGAAGGCACGCACATTACAAACTGACAAGTACGGTTATGCTGTGGTTACAAACGAGTAAGAAGGAAAGCGGCGTTATGAATCTCGGCGGTTCAATGACTAGACAGGTTCTTTATATTATCTATCTTTTTTATATTTTTTAGAAATTTGAGGGTCTTAGTGATTTGAATAGCTATCTTTCAGGTTGAAGCAGACCATCCCGTGAATGATTCTACAAATACACATTTGATTAATATGGGCAAAATGATTGAGGTAGGGCTCAGTTCTGATACCTTAGCCCCTTTATTCATTTTTTGAGTTTTTAGCAAAATAGACAAGCAAGTAACATTTGATATTTATTTTTTAAGAGCTTTTTATGACTCAGTGATTTTTCTTTCTGACTTTTTGTTGAGTTGAGTGGTTGCATTTATTTGTTGCTGCCTTTATTTTGTCTTTTTTACGAGTAAAAGCTAGTTTTGAATACTCATTTGAACTTTTAAATGTTAGGATATGGAGAGCAAAATCAGATCAACGTTGAACGAAGTGTATTTTGGGAAAACGAAACAAATCGTTAGTGAACTTCGTTCAATACTGGACTCCGAAGAATTGAAAAGGCAGAGGAAACTTGCTTCGGAGATCAAAGGAGGTATAGCAAAATGAAAGTTTTGTTGCACATTTGTTTAGCAGAGCTTTCTTGAATAGTTGAGATTGTTGGGAGTTTTTTCTTGGAGAATGATTGGATTTGGTCTTTGTTTTACGGTTTTTGGTTGACAATGACTAATCTGTATCTCACCAATCTCTTGAATTTGAAACTTTTATTTATGTTGAGAGGGATTGATTTTGCTGGCCAATGCATTGTGTTTGAGCCTTATCACTTTTGCTGTTATTATAATTTTTAAATCTACATTCAGTGTTTTAATCGTGGAACTACGTTTTAACTTTATCCAAAATCGGAGTTTCGTCAAAGTTGTCACACTGCCATTGGTTTTGTTACGTTTTTAAAGTTTCAGAACTTGTAAATATTCATTTCAAGATATAGCTTAGTTTTAAACCGGATCTGGCGGGAGTTTACAATTAGTTTTACTTTGAAGCCGACTAATAAGCTTTTATTCTATTTTGCTCCTTCTTGCTGCTTTAACCAGTATTTTTAACCTTTGCTCGTTGAATTCATTCATTTTATTATTGAAGGTTTGGTGAGAAGAAGGGCGTCGGATGAGTGAGTTTTATTTGGTTTGTTTTTAGGTTTAAATGTTATTATTTAATTAACTTTTGAAATACCTAATAATCAATTCCTTTATTTTCACACAAGGTCAACATGCACAGTGATAGCGTTTTGAAACTTTAACCACTGATCTTAACAACTCGAAATGATCTACCCACTCTTTTTGTTCCTTCGTCCATTTTTAATAAGAAAGTTTAGTGTCCAGATTACAAAATAATTTGTTTGCAAGGGTTTTACTTACAGTTTTATTTTAACAATTGCAATTTCAGACAGAAAGGGTAATTATCTGAATATTGAATTGGTAGATATTAAGCGTATGCGCGTAAGAAAGGGATTTGAAAGCATATTGAAAAAAGACCTACAATTTAGATTAAATGTATTTAAAAAGTACGTTTGGATTATTACGTAACCAGTTATCTAGTTCTTCTGTGATCGTTGTCAGAAACAAAATCGTATGCAAAGCATAGTACAGTTAGCGCTGAGTATTTATTAAGTGTTTATTCTGATATGCTTGACTCACTGTCAGATATTGTCATTATTAGTGTAATTTGGTGAAAATGGAAAGACTAGAAGTGAACTGGCTATTTAAATTGATCAGGCTTTAGGGGCAGTAACAATGAGTTTGCTGAGCTGTTGTTGCTGTGGATTCTGTTGCCTTAAGGCTTTTCCTTCTGCATTTGATATGTGTTGTACTTTTGCAAAAGGGGCGATACAGCTTTCTCGGCTGCGTTGAAAGTATCGCCTGTGCCTTACATGCTTTTGAGCCTCAGATCTTAGATAACGAACGCTTGGCTGCTTTTTTTGCTCAATTTTCCGGAAAAATTATGAACCATTCAGCACATTAAGGTCAAGTAGCTTTTTGGCGTTCACGTGACTACTTCAATCTTTATACGTATAAATTAAGGAATCTGCTTTTTGTTACGTGAATTTTTCAGTTTCGTCATTGTGCTGTTGTTTAGAACATAGTGAACGTTAATAATTCCCTATTGCTGTCTCCGCCTAGTTGTTTCCTGTTTGTCTTTTATGCTTGGCCGTTTTGAATCGTTTTGTTCCTACTTTACTGCTTCCTAATAAACTTTTGCTTTATTGGTGTACATAGTGAATTAATTAAGGATGTGACAAAACTTGAGTAATTGAACACTTCAAGGGAGGTTCCGACTTAATCTTTTCTTTATCTCAGTTTGGGAGAGTTCTTTCTCCCATATTTGATTAAAAAGTAACGTTATCGGTCTTTCAGACTTGAGGAGTTGCTTTGTTTTGCCCAACTCTTCAAACATTAAGCCAATGATATTTGATGATTAATGATCTTGGTTGGTGGCACTGTCAGTTTACTAGGCTGGAACTTTGAGAAGTGTCGAGGTTTTCTTGCGACAAAAATTTAGATGAGTGATGCAAATTGTTTTAGGTTGAATATGTGGGTCTGTATAGAAATTGCCAAAGTTTGCATATCTAACTAGGTTCAGTAAAAATGGACAAGTCAGTTGGTTAATGGTAGTTGATGATGAAAGGCAATTTTACAGTAGCAATTTTGTTGGTTGGCAGTCGTCTATTTTTAAGGTTTATTTAAATCTAGAAGTGATGGTGTGAGTGGATCCCCCGCATTTTTAACAAACGTATATCGCTCAGGTGGCGTTGGAATTAGGTACTTGTGAACTCTAGGATCATTTTTTAGAATTTTTTCCTGGAGAAGTTTTTATGCGCTATATGAGTACAGTGACGCGGGGTACCTTTACCGTAAGTGACTCTCGTTGCTCTTAGTTGTTTCAATACAATCACCTATACGAATCTTCACGTTCGTTCTGCACACATGTAAAGTAGTTTATTGGTAGGCAGATATTTTCCATGGTTTACATTTCTATTTGTTTCTGCATTGGAATTCTTTGATTGAACGTCTATGGTATTTATCAAAGAGGATAATCATAGTATATTTACCGCCAGCCATAGCAGTGAAGTCAGGATATATAATTCGAGTTTTTGGCATGAACAGCTTTGTCTAGGAGTAATGATTAGCAAAGCAAGGAAAGAAGTAAAAAAGTTGAAGCATGTACACTTGTATTTTATATCTGAGATCAGTTTTTTCTGCTGTTGCTTTTGGTGTTGTTGTTCTCCTTCTGCCGCGGAAGCGCTATCTATAGCACTATTATGACTGTGGTTTCCTACACCAAAAGTATTGAAAAATTCTGTACAAGCTGGAATAAAACTGAAGCTGTAGTATTACAATTATGCTACTATCAGATGAGGGGATTATACAGGATAGCATATACGCGACCTTAAATCGTCTATCATATTTGGCATTTATAATTCAAAGTTCACTGCGGAGATGTCGGCAGTTATCGTGTACTTTTAGTAATCCTTAATTCAGTTACAGTTATCTCTTTATTTGCTTTAAGAAACAATAGTCGTTAATCGTTGTCATTTGATTAAACGGTAAAGATAGTATAAATTACGAGTTTCTGGAAGGTTATTTGTTTATATGATGATTAATTTTTCATCTCGAATATCTCCAAATATTTGAAGAATGAAGAATATTCGTAATGAAAAAAAAAAACACATTTTTAAGTGAACTGTCTTTTTTTTTAGAAGTTTCCAACTTCGAACAGTTTGCAGCTTAGAAGAAATTGTTCAGAAAACAGTTATAAAGAGAGAAAAAAAAAATTTATTTTTTGCTCTGTTTATCAGATTTACAAGTTAAAAATTAGGATTTTTGTGAGCAAAATTTGTTAATGTATTTTAGGAAGTATGAATTAGAGTCTGAGAAGGAAAAAAAGAGGATAGGGAAGAGGAGAAGGAGTGGATGAATCAGATTTTATATTCTTTTTTTTAACGATTTTTACACACGTTTCTTACATCACTAATTGTTGTTTTTTTTCAAAAGTTAATGTCGTTATAGTTTTGTTTCAAAATCGACCAATTAATACTGTAGTTGAACAGTTTTTTCTTTGTTTAATTTGCTAAATAAAGTCAAATTACTAATATTACAAACAAAAAAAAAATATTTTCAATAACAGTTAAGCGAGTTATACTAAGTGGAATACAATTATCTGTATTACAGTCTGTTACCGTTTTGTTGATAACCGAATGCAAAAAGGCCTCTCTTTTTTTCAGTCTATAATATTGTCAGTTGCAGTCAGCAACGATCAGTGAAGCAGTAATAATTTTTTTTTTAATGGCACTTTTTTGTAATAAAAATAACATTTTTTTCTAGTAATTTTTTTTTACAGGTCTGAGTTGGTTGCTTTTTTAATCAGTTTTCTATTGTTGAAAAAAAGCGGAAAATTGATATAGCTTATTGTAAGGTAGTGCTATAAGTGCATGAACAATGGATGACACCTAGTTCAGTTAGCATCTAAGAACAACCAAAGTTTAAGACTAAAACAGAACAAGAAGCTAAGCCAGAATAAATATAAGTTTATAAATCTTACTGTATATACTGTAATTTGCACAACTTTGATGACGATTAATATTTGATATGTAAAATTAATCAGTCTCAGTGCTATGAAAGATGGGTCAATAAAAGAAGCAGAATGAAATAAGTTTAGCATCAAAATTGCTTATTGCTGACGGTTCAACAATCAGTTTTAGAAATATGTAGGCACTTTTTACATTTAAGTGCAGAAGAAAAGTTGATGATAAGTAAAAAGAAAAAGGAAAAACAGTTGACATTTTTTAGTTTGTTCATACCCGGAAAAAGTTCGATGAACTAAAAACAGTGAAACAATAAGGTACAGATGACTTGATCAGCCTATTTTTTCTAAAATTTTTTATTTTTTTTGTCTTTTAGGAACTAAGAGGACAGATATACAGCATTTCAAATATTTCATGATATTTATGCTGTACAAATAGAAATTTGAAAGACAAGATAGAGTTTTTCTTTGTTGAGGTTGGTACTGTTTTTTTTCTTCTGTTGTTGTTGTCGAAATATATCATTCATTATTAAACAAATTTTTTGGACATGAAAGTTTTGTTTTTTCCACTGTTACTGCAATATTTTTGACAAAAAGAAAAGATGAAAGGAAGTAGAAGGTTGTTTTGAGGAAGAATTTGTTTTACGAGGTATTAATCACCTGCTTCAGTGACCTTTTTTTGTTTTTGTTCTTTTTTTCCTTCTAAGCTTCAAGTTTAGCTTTGTTTACAAAGAAAAGGGAAGGGGATGGGGTTCCAAGGAAAAATTCAAAGAATTTTTGAATAGAAAGAAATACTGGGCTTTTCTTGTTTTGTTGCTGTTCTTTTTTTTGTTTTTGTTATTGCTGTATGATGTTCTTTTCAAGGTCGTCATCATCGTCCATCGGTCTGTTGTCATCGTCGTTGTCATCGTTGTATCTGTTGCTCTTGTTTTTCACTCCCTTTAAATTGGTAGGTATTTTATGATCGACTATTGGCTAATTAATTTAAAGAAAGAAAAAAATTGTGCTCATTTTTTTTATTGCCGTTTAATAACTGTCCAAGTGTTGAACCAGAAAAAAAAAGTTTTTGTCTTTCAAATTTTTCTAAAGATCATTAACACTACGTTCATCAGTGAACAAGAAAAAAAGCAGAAAAAAAACACACACACACATACATCGAATAAATAAAGATCAAGGAGATTTAATTGACAATAAATTCCAGTAAAACAAATAAGAAAAAGGATTGAAGTCATCTAAAAAAAAACTTTTTTGTTGATAAGAAAACTCGTTATAAGGATTTTGTTGATTTTTTCTCTAGAAAAAATTTTAATTTTTTCTGTTTTTGAATTTTAGAATCAAAAATGAGACTTCCTTATCTTGGCGGAAAAAAATTTTTTTTTTAACTAAGCATTATTTACAGGAAGAAACTTTCTTCTCAGCTTCTTTTGATCAGCTGACTAAAATCAGTAAAACTGACAGCACTTTACAGGGGCGTTATTCATCCTTTCAGTGTCTGTCTGTGCGACGAGCTCTAAGGGACTTTAAACATCTGATAAAGAGTTTGGGTATTATTGGCAAAAACAGCAGTAAGAAATGACGAAAAAAAACACAAAATTTATTTCAGTTATTCTACAAAAATAAATAAATAAATAAATGTTATAGAATCAGCCAAAATAAAAAAAAAAAAACGAAGACAAGGAGGAAACGGGGAAAGGGGTAAGAAAAAATGGGGAAAAAAAAAATTGGGGTCACGTAATTTTGCAGTGCCAATTAAAGTTTACAGCAAACAAACAGTTTCATTCCTGGCAAACAACAAACACACACCACTAACAGACAAATAGACGGATAATATTTCTTTGGTTTTATCTAAAAACCTTCCATAATTTTTTTGACTTCCGTTTTCTGAGAGGTTTTTTTTCTTCATCTAGTCATTATCTGTTTAATTCGTTCATTTAGTCAAATTTGTTTATCCCGTTGTTTCTTCATCTATTTTTGTGACTGCTGATCACCATGGTTTATCGGTTAAAGTCATTCCTAACTACAGCAATTGCATATACAATATTATTGTTCCTGCTGATTGTTCAGTTCACCAATGCACAAATTGCAGAAGGTAAATATTCATATGAAATATTTTGTGTAATTGATTGAATTATTTATGGTATCAGTTAATCTGTTGTTACTGAAGCAAGATTGATTAGTTGCTAATGCATTTCTAAATTTACAATATAATTTAAAATTGTTCTTTTTGTTTGATGTTTTATTTTACATTGTTAATACAACATCTTTTACATTAGTCGGGGTATCTGGTATAATTGTTCAAAGATTATCTACAACAACAGTAAGTAATAAACTGCTGTTTATTAATATATATATATCTGGTATCAAAACCGTAGGCAAAACTTCCTGGAGAACTTTTAACTTTAGGCTTGCTGTAGGCAGCTAAAAGTTTGCTAAACAGTTCTAACGTTCTGTTAGATGTTTAGCAAGAAGTTGAAACGTTCAACAAACTTTCAGCTAAATTTTTACTTAATTACTAGATTCTGGTTTAGAATTTAAATGTTGGCATCTATTGACTTGGCAACTTTAAGTAACAAATATTTTGTGGATCAAAATACTGGTAAGGAAGAATGTTGAAGGAGGAATGAAAAGAAAATAAATTGGCTCTGTCAGTTGACTTTTTTTAGAATTATTTCGTTATTTTAGTCTAATGACATATTCCCGTGTTTTGCCGAATTTATGAAAAACAGTTGTAAAAAACTGTTGTTAATTCTTCTTGGTTTTTTTTTTTTTTGTCGGTATCATGTCGTTACTTTTTTAAATTTACAAGAAAAAAAAAGCAAAAACAAGAAAAATGATTGAAAAATAAAAATTTTATTCTGAACTTTGGCTACTTGAAGACGTTTTCTAATTGCAATGACAGAAGGAGGGATAAAGTTTGAGAAAGTTTAAGATTAATGCTGTCGGTTGTGGGTCTCACTGATACTTTTGATTCAGTCTTTGTCTTTTTTTCTGTTTTACCTACTTGCATTTTCAATCTTAAAAGGGAAAAGTTTGAAAGAAATTATTAGCCTCCCCTTCCTTCCCCGGCAAAGGAAAGCCGTAAAAGTTTGTGCGTTATTCTGTAAAATTATTGGCATTAATTTAGCACAATTTTTTTTTCTGCTGGTAGAATAAAACACACAAAAAAAAA